AAACCAGACCAAATCTCAGCACTGAGAAGAGGAAGGAGACACAAAGTCCCATCCCTAATCAAGAGGCTCTTGGGAAGCGACAGCTGCTGGGAAAGGAAAAAATCTTTTTCTCCAATGGAGTGCCACTGGGTATATCAACTACACTGCAGGGCAGCCTCATGCCCAGGAGTGGTTGGCTAACACAAACTAGAGTCCATGTTTTGTGTTTGTGTTCTTTTTTGTTTTGTTATTATTGTTATTATTATTTGCTGCTTCTACTTTTTTTTTTCATTTCAATTATCATTTGTATTGCTGCTAACCTGTTAAAAAGTATATTGGGGGGGGGGGGGTGCAGGTATCTGCAGAGCCAGAAGAGAGCGATGGAGTCCTGGACTGGAGTTACAGGTAGTTGTAAACTTCTGGATGTGGGTGCCGAGAATCCAGTTCCAATCTTTTGAAAGCAGCAAGTGCTCTTAACTGCTGAGCCATCTTTCCAGCCCTGTTAATTTCATTTTTTTAGTCAAAGAAGAACAACTCATATTTTAGATATGAAGAATATGGCCTGAAATGACATTTTGGTGAAATATAGCATTTTTACATTGAAATCAGAAAATGATATAATTGTAACAAGTTTCAGTAATTGGGTAAACTTATTAAAACAAGTCTGAATATTCAAAATGATAAACCTAAGATCAATGAAAATTTTACACTACAAATTATTGCAACTCAGGTGCCATAATGCACATCTATAATCCTAGCACTTGGGACTTATACCTTTTTTTTTTTAGTTTGTCCTTTTCTGTTTATTTTTTGTTGTTTTCCCTGTTTTTTGTTTTGCTGAGAGAAATAATATGAAGTTGGGTGGAGAAGGGCTAGTGGAGAGGAAAGAATATGATCAAAACAGACTGCATGAAAAAACATTTTAAATAAAAACTTTTTAGTAACAAAAGAAAACACTAATATATTTATAAGGACAAACAGAATTAGGACACTTTAAATTTTTTCTTTACTTTTATTTTTCTATGAGGGTGTTTTGCCAACATATGTCTCTATGTACCATGTGTATGCAGAGGGCATGTGTATGCAGAGGCCAGAAGAGGGCATCAGATCCTTAGGAACTAGAGTTACAATTGTCTGCCACACGGGTGCTGGGAATGAAATGCAAGCCCTCTGGAAGAAAAAGCAGCCGGCACTCTTAACCACTGAAAATCTCTCCAGCCCCGCCCCTCTTCTTTTAAGGTATAAGTAAAGAAAGCTTATAACATTAATTCTCAATATTTTGGCCTAGATCAAATGAGGATGACATGTGCAAGTGACTACTTCCAAGGATGATGTGTGGGAGAGGCTTAGCCAGGCTGAAAGCTCAGGTCCTCTAAACCTAACGGTCACTTCTAAAAGACTGAACCTCAAGATACAGTACAGGGATAAAAAGAACAAACAAGGGAAGGAAAACACTGAGGAAGGACTTAAAGCACATTTCTAAAAAGAAAAGAGAACAATGTATATATTTTTAAAAATACATGTAAAAATTCAAGGATGTTGAAGTTACTAAAAAATGAAAAAGGTACCATCTCTGATGGTGATGGTTGAGTGTTTGTGTGTAAGATTAACATTTAAAGTGGTGAACTTTAAGCTAAGTAGGGTGCCCTCTATAACATGGGTGAGCTTCAGGCAAACAGCTGAAGGTCTGCCTAGCATCAAAAGCAAGGACTTCCCTGCTCCAGGGCCTTTGGACTGGAGCTGCGCCAGCTCCTCTCCTAAGTCTCCACACTGTTGGCCGAGATTACAACAGCACCTGGCTTTCTCAGTCTTTGCTCTGCCAGCCCACAGTGCAGATTCTGGATTTACCAACTCCCATTAACTATATGAACTCAGCCCTTATAAATCAATCATTCTACACACACACACACACACACACACACACACACACACACACACACACAC